CGGAGAATCAGATCTGCTTTCGTTACCGTTCCCCCCCCAGAAATTTCTCCGGTAATAGTCGGAATAGATAAAGCACCATTTGTAACATCCAGGTTGTCCTTTTATGAACGCTGGTTCGCCTTAAAATTAATTCAATATTAAAAATTGCCCTCTCCTGTCGCTTGTGGGGGAAAAAAAAAAAAAAGAAGTTATACAAGCGTCTTGACAGGTTCGCCCTCGTGACCGGTCAATGAACCTGTGAGTACCGGCGGTTTGAGCGTTGTGAAGTATAGGACTCCTTTATAAGATACCCTCGTGGAAGGGGTTTGGGGGGGGGGGGGGGGGGGGGAGCTGAGGGCAACGCTAGAGGACAAAAACTAAACTTGGAAGCAAATTTTTAGCATTTTGATTACTACTTTAGAGCTCTCTGCAAAGCGCGCGTTGGTGCAGGCCTTGTGTGGAATCAGGATCCGTCATGCCTTGTTATTGAACTAAAGTGTTCGCGTTTCATTGGATGGGGTGATTGTAATTTATATCTATATTTCATTAGCTTTCTGTTCAAGATTGGCAGATTTTCAGTGTCACTGCATTTTGCGCGCGCCCCCCCCCCCCCCCCAGTTCTTACACCTCTCACACTGAATAGGTGTACTTGAGCCATTCTAGTTATTACTCTACTTTGAGCTGCAGCAATGGTTTTCGTCTTCACGTTTATTATATGAATCAGGACACCCAGACTGGTTATTGACAGTCGATTTTCTAGTTCTAGGTCTTTTTTCAGGCTCAAAACAGGATTCATTTTTTTATATAGGGCCTACAGTTTGTTATGTTGGCTAATATGATGAGGGGAAAATATAAATAAGTAAGAACAGACTGAAATACCAAAGTCTCTCAAGATCCCAGTGCCACACTGACATGTTGTTGACTGGATATAATGTAGCTTACCTACATGTGTGTGTGTGTGTGTGTGTGTGTGTGTGTGTGTGTGTGTGTGTGTGTGTGTGTGTGTGTGTGTGTGTGTGTGTGTGTGTGTGTGTGTGTGTGTGTGTGTGTGTATTCACAAACATATACATGTATTATATTAGATATAAATGGAGCACACGCTTTCATTGTTATGTAACGTGTTCCTGGAAAATGGATGAGGCCCATCCCTTGGAAAATTGAGAAGCTGATTTGGCAGTCACCCAGTATTATAGTCATCTATTGTTTGAAGACTATACTACAAAATGTACATTTGCATTCATTTATAGACATTTTGACTTTTTATCTTTGATAGATGGGCTTTTTGGGGATCATTCTTGACATTTGGAGTTATTGGTGTCATTTTAAAGCTTGTTTATTTGTCTTGCATTTGATGAAAAAAAAATACCCATCTACCTTTTCTAGAAATCAAGATATTTGCAATTGAATGGGATGGGGGTTGCCTGGTGTCTGAGGTAAGATTAGTGAGAAAATAGCGCCAAAGTTGGGTCATTTCCAAAGCTGGAGCGTCTTCGGAAACTGTAAATTTACATTTTTGTGCCTCTAATCAATGTTTATCAGTAAAATCCACACATGAATGTGTTTTTAAATGAACATAACATATCTTGAGTTCAAAACAAACTAAAAAAAAAAAATGGAAAATTAGCCAACGGCACAGGAAAAATGTTGGTTCTACATTGGTAGGGTCTGCCCCTGGCTCATCAACATACCTGTTTGAAAGCGCGGGTTAGTCCGCAATTTCTGATTCCTGTGCTCGAAGAACTTGAAGACAGTGTAAAAAATACGACTGTCCTCTGTACTGAGAGCGGCCTCCAGGAACTTCCGAGAGGAGACGGTGTCTACAATTCCGACACTCCTAATAAATCTGGGGAAGAAAAGAAAATCCCCTCTGTTCACTCCTGTATGACCAATAAACAAAGCAGTGCATACATCTGATAAGCCCCTCTGTTCACTCCTGTATGACCAATAAACAAAGCAGTGCATACATCTGATAAGCCCCTCTGTTCACTCCTGTATGACCAATAAACAAAGCAGTGCATACATCTGATAAGCCCCTCTGTTCACTCCTGTATGACCAATAAACAAAGCAGTGCATACATCTGATAAGCCCCTCTGTTCACTCCTGTATGACCAATAAACAAAGCAGTGCATACATCTGATAAGCCCCTCTGTTCACTCCTGTATGACCAATAAACAAAGCAGTGCATACATCTGATAAGCCCCTCTGTTCACTCCTGTATGACCAATAAACAAAGCAGTGCATACATCTGATAAGCCCCTCTGTTCACTCCTGTATGACCAATAAACAAAGCAGTGCATACATCTGATAAGCCCCTCTGTTCACTCCTGTATGACCAATAAACAAAGCAGTGCATACATCTGATAAGCCCCTCTGTTCACTCCTGTATGACCAATAAACAAAGCAGTGCATACATCTGATAAGCCCCTCTGTTCACTCCTGTATGACCAATAAACAAAGCAGTGCATACATCTGATAAGCCCCTCTGTTCACTCCTGTATGACCAATAAACAAAGCAGTGCATACATCTGATAAGCCCCTCTGTTCACTCCTGTATGACCAATAAACAAAGCAGTGCATACATCTGATAAGCCCCTCTGTTCACTCCTGTATGACCAATAAACAAAGCAGTGCATACATCTGATAAGCCCCTCTGTTCACTCCTGTATGACCAATAAACAAAGCAGTGCATACATCGGATAAGCCCCTCTGTTCACTCCTGTATGACCAATAAACAAAGCAGTGCATACATCTGATAAGCCCCTCTGTTCACTCCTGTATGACCAATAAAACAAAGCAGTGCATACATCTGATAAGCCCCCTCTGTTCACTCCTGTA